GTGTGTGTGTGTGTGTGTGTGTGTGTGTGTGTGTGTGTGTGTGTGTGTTTTTATTCAATGCTAGAGAGAGAGAGAGGGTGTGCGCCTGTGTGTGCATGCCATGAAGGCACACCACGTGCCATAGCACGTATGTGGAGCTCAGAGGAATTTGTGTCTCTCTCCTACCATGTGCATCTCAGGGATCGAACTCATGTTGGCAGCAAGCGCTTTTATCCACTGAGCCATCTCGCCTGCTCTTGTTTCTAGTTTTTATTTTTTTGGTGATTGTTTGTTTTAGACAGGGTCTCTCTGTGTAGCCCTGGCTGGGCTGGAACTCACAGAGATCCTTCTGCCTCTGCTTCTCAGTTGCCTAAACTTAAAAAAAAAAAAAGCCAGGAGTGGCACAAACGCCTTTAATCCCAGCACTTGGGGAGCAGAAGCAGGCAGACCTCTGAGTTTAAGGGCAGCCTGGTCTACAGAGCAAGTTCCAGGACAGCCTGGGCTACACAGGGAGACGTGGTTTCAAAAAACAACAACAAAAAAGCATATATTTACTTTATGTGTATAGATGTTTTGCTGTGTGTATGTCTGTGCACCGTGTGTAGTATCCTAAGAAGGAGGCATTGGATCCCCTGGGACTGGAGTTGCAGACAGATGTGAGCTGCCTTGTGGATGCTGAGAATTGAAACTGGATCCTCTGGAAGAGCAGCCAGTGCTCTTAGAGGCTGAGCCATCTCTGCAGCCCCCAATATGTGCCCCCTTGATTATCTCTAGACGAGGAGATGCTCTGGGATTGAAGTCAGATCAACAATCCTATGTCTCAAAGAAGTTGTGCAGCTCTGAGTGGGCACCCAGAGAGGTTCAAGGTGTCCCAGGAGTCCTGACACACACCTTGAATCCCTGACCTTCAAGAGTTGAGGCAGGGGGATGGCCATGAGTTCCAGGCAAATCTAGGTAACAGAATGAGAGAGAGATCTGGTCTCCACAAACAGCAAATCAGAAGTGGTAAGATATCCTATTGGTGAAGGCTGAGCACCCATGTTCCATCCCTGGGGCCCATGTGGTGAAGGGAGAGGTAGGCCTCCCATAAGTGGTCCTGAGTCCCTCCCTGTACACCATGGTGTGCACACGCACAAACATGTTTGCATACAGGGACACAAAATAAATGTGGCCTTCCGAAAGCAGCAGCTCAGGTTGCTGTGATGGCCACCTGTCATCCCAGCACTGGAGAGATGGAAGCAG